CCACTTGTCCATCCTTCAGTTAATAGCTTTGGATCACATGATTGACACCATGAATAATCAGTATTATATCTATTGCATGTTGGACATTCCCCATATACTTCATCTCTTTTCTTTGAATATTCATCATTTTTGTTAGTAGAAGTATTGTCATGATGTTTATTTTCATCCAAAATGTTTTCCATTGTGGTTTTTGTATAATTTGTCGAAAAAAAATTTTTTTCAGCCACAAATAGTATCACAAAAAATGTATTAAATATATTAAATTTTACCTGGACTACAACAATTCAGCATTGACACCCTAAAGTCGTAAAACTGTAATAAATATTGCAAGCGTGCGATATGAATTATTGGGAGCCACCAAATCTGGCAAACTAAATTAAAATCACTATATACAACTATACCGCTTGATTAGAGTTTCTATTCGAATAAGGGTTTATTCGAATTATTTGTTTTACTCGTTATGAATTTGAGTGTTCGAATTACATTATGAAGTTTATTCGAATAAAATGAATAACGAATAATTCGATAATTCGATAATTCAAATAAGACAAATAAACAATAAATAATTCAATCGATAATTTAAATAAAACAAATAAACGAATAATAATAATTCAAATAGTTCGAATAAAACGAATAAAATGTATAGTTCGAATAATTCGAAATAAAACGAATAATCCGAATATTTCAAACAAAACGAATAAATGAATAGTTCGAATAAAACGAATAGTTCAAATAAACGAATAAACGGATAGCTCGAAATAAAATAAATAATTCAAGCAAAACGAATATTCAATAAATGAACGACAACAATTCAAATAAACGAATGATAAAAATTCGAATAATAAACGAATGATAACAATCTGAATAAACGAATGATAGCAGTTCAAATAATAAACGAATGATAACAATTCAAATAATAAACAAAAGATAACCAATTCGAATATTAAACGAATGATAACAATTCGGATAAATGAATGATTTGAATAATTAGAACAAAAATTTGTAGAAACTCTACTCCATTGCAGAGTCCCCAAATCTGGCACACAGCCAATAATGTTCAAACTAAATTAAAATCACCATATACAACTACAATACTTGAGGCGTCCCTACAAGAAATATAGTAAAATTAATGAAAGGGTTCCTAACTAATAATTAAATGTTGGTTCCTAACTAATAATTAAAGGTTGGCCAACCATTAATCATCAGAAAGGGTTATGAATCAATCAATCATGCCAGATTTATTAATTAATTACAGTCGAGGACTATTTTTACAAAAGTGTTATTTTTATTACCAAAGCGTTAGGATTGAAAGATCAATTATTATTAATTTTTTTTTTCACTGAAGGAGATTTCAAGCATATTTATACTTCTTTGAAGTATTACAAATAGCATGACTTTTTTACGTTGATTTTGTCCAATAAAATAAAATAAAATAGAATGATAAATGATGACTAATTGACAATTACTAAAGTTAAATGTCAAAAATGTGTCATTGATGATATCATGATTAAATGATACCTGACAAAATGTTTTTGTGACAAAAAATTATTTTGTCATAATTAATTAAAATAATAAATTTATATTCATTGAAATGTCAGATGGTAGTCAGCTTCAATTTGTAAATGTTAACTCAAGTGTTGATGGTAATTTGTCTTCCTTGAGAATATTATTAAACAAGAAAATCATGAAATATGGCAATGTGACTCTGGATACATTGGTATTGCACCAATTTCATTCAATTCATTAATGGTAAAGAAGACTTTGATGAACCTTTCTTTAAAGTCAACACAGCTTTAATAGGACAGGTTTCTAGATTATTTTTGCAGGAAAATCAATTAATTAGCTGAATAAGTCCTGTGCTATGAGATAAATATCTTTTTGACCGATTAATGATTGATCAAATTGACTGATTATTGAAAAATTTTCCTTTTATTTTATCAGACCAACCCACTTATTTTGCTTATCAAAAAACTATGCCGTTGATCCAGGATTAAAAGATCACAACAATCATGATTGTTATATTTGTTGCCCATCATATTTAAATATTTTTAGTTCTCAAACTCATACTAAAAAATAAATAATTTATGGGGGGGGAAAGTAAAAAAGAGTATTGCTTGAAAATATTTCTTTAAATGAAATCTCATCAGAAGTTCAAGATGCTCAAAATCTTAATGATGAATCTAACTCATTACAGCAAGGATGCAGTGCTTAGAATAAGAACTCAAACATTAGTAAAGATTTGGATAAAATTGATAGATATTTAGATAAGACAATAACACCAATTCCTGACGAAAATATCACGGAATATGTATTTAAAAATGGAAAATACTATAATGTTAATATTATTAATAAGGTGGAAATAGTTGGTTGTATTACTTAAAGTAGTTTCTTTCTCCAAAATCACTTCTTGAGTTAGTATTACCTAATTGATACATATTCCTCTGTCGTCAATACCAAGCTAAAAGATCATCTATCAATTAAATTGTCAACATCATCATCCCTGATCACTTGCAATATTTCCTATTAAAGTTGCAGCATTTTCGATTTGTGCCTCATAATCTGAAGGAAGAATACCAGTTTTCACCAGCAATAATTAATAGTAACATTTTCCCGGGCCTATTTAACAAAATTTTATTGCCTTTTTAATATTAATATTAATTTCTTGTCAAAAAACTTTAATTTCCTTGCAATTGGTCTGTAAGATAAAATATATTTACATATTAAATAATTTAATCCCTATTTCAAAAATAAAACAACATATGGAGGAGGTAAGCAATGAATGATTTGTTAACTCCAAATTATTAAACTACGGGTCAGTGCATTGTCAAACGATAGTATATTTCTATTTTTGTCTAATTCATCAATGAATATATATGTAATACGAATCTTGCCATGTTTTTGTGCTAAGTCTGTATTTTTTGATTGAAGTTTAGTAAACATAACTCGCGTTTTTGGAACAATATACCCACATTTTTTTAATAATGATGATGATGATGATGATGATGATTGTTGAGACATTTTACATTTGTGTAGGGTTTAAAGAAATCATTGGTTAAGAATTAATTGTTAATTAAAAGAAAGTTTCATCTTTATTTGTACATTTAGAAATTTAAAAGTTGATGAATTCATTTTGATAATCAATTTTTATGCAGATCAATGTGATAGACCAATCGAAATTTTTTAATATTTTACTCGCAATAATACTAATCTATTCATAGAAGGATCTTCAACCATAATTTTTTAAATTTGATTTTATTGGCCAATTCGTAAACAATTAATAAATTGAAATTCGTTGAAACAAAGAAATTCAACTGTATGTCTGTCTAACTAAAATTTGTAACGATATCATTTTTATTATTCATTCATCCGTCCTATCCATTCACTAATATTTATTTAATTTTATTGGTAAAAATAATAATAATTATTATATTGAATCATGAATATGACATTTCAACGAATCGTAATTTTCAAATAAATTTTGAACAACATTACTACCATACAAGATCACTTCATATAAGAACATCATACGTCGGTAACCAATTACTATTAAGCTTATAGAAAAATAATATTTTAGAAAAAACCGCCATGTTCCCGACAGGGTTCTTATATCGAGGTACGACCCATGTTTGGGTCATTCACTAATACTAATACTAATGATTTTTTTCAAGTGTAACACAAACACCAATTTGTGAACTAACCTTAGATTTGGAGAAACTGGTTGTGATTATGATGAACCAGAGCCGAGTAGATGAATTTAGACAATTAATAAATTTTTTTTAATAATGTCTAGGTGGGCAATTGTAACAACGATCCATTAAAAAAACCTTTAAGTAAGCATAAATTAAATTTTTTATTTATTTTTTTGGGTGTGTATATTTATAACATGTTGTGGTATTTTTAAAATTTTTAAATTAAATTATAAATTATTATATCTTTACATTATATTTATATATACATATATTATTTTAAATTTTTCTTCCATAAGTTCTATAAACTTTGGCATAAGTTTTATATTTATTATATTCTAAAGGAGCTATTTTTACTTTCTTCTCTATCAATACTTCTTCTGGTATACGCATAAAATCAAGAAGACCCGACAATCTTGCCGAATATAATTCATCAAAAGTTTTGCAAAACTATATATTATATAAATAATATTCAATTAAAAATCTAAAAAAAAAAAAAAAAAAAAAAAAGAGATTCTAAATAAAAAAAAAACTCACAAGTTCTCCGATATAACCTCCCCAACTCCCTATCGGTATACCTTTACTATTTATTCCAATATCAGTGACTTGATTCGTGTTTAACAACATCTTTTCGAGTTCTTTATTTATTTTTGTATGAACCCCAGACGATCTTAAATAAGCCACAACTATATATAAAAATTTCAAGAAAATTTATTTATTAGATTAAGTTACAAGTCGGGTCATTTTATTTATATAAACGATATCGAGTAATACATACATAATTTGCTTAATTCATCCATAACCGGTCCCAAAGAATTTGCTCTTGGATTTCTTTCCTAATTTTTGATTGAATATTAATAATTGATATCAAATATAATAATTAAACTATTGCATCACCAAAAAATAAAAGACAAATACCATAAATTCCATCCAACCATTTGGTTTAGTGACCCTTACAATTTCATCGATAACAAATTTCCATTGATCTTTTTGAATCGAAGTCATCATATTACTTTGATGTACATAATCGAATGTATTGTCGGGAAATGGTAAACCGTCAAATATATTACCCTTGATAAATGCTAGATTTGGTTGATCATCGCCTTTTTTGAAATCTATTAAATCAAGACCGATGAATGATGATTTTGGATAAGATTCTGCCATGCTTGTTATCCACGATCCTGTCCCAGATCCGATATCCAATACGCACATATTGCTAGAAGTTAATCTGTCTTGGATGGGGGCAGAAAACTTTCCTTTCCATATGTGTTCGTATAATATTTCTAATATCTCCATATTTGTCATCGACTAATAATTAATTAAATTAAATTAAATTAAATTAAATTGATATTTTTAGTTTAATTAATTTTAATTTAATATTTTTAATAATACTTTATTTATAAAATATTTACCCTTTCATCAACTGCTATTATTTGACAAGAATTTTCTAAATTGATAAACAATCTACCGTCGATAATTTTAAATTCTTCGCACAACGAATCTATTCCGTCTAAATCGTCTTCATTAAATGAATATGAATGTGAATCTGTTGTACTTTTATCATCATCATTATCATAAAATAATGATTTTTGGGAAGTTTTTTGATGAAGTGAATTATTATTATTATTATTACTATTACTATTACTATTAATTTTCATTGTGTATGATTTGTATGTGATTTAATAACAATTATTATTATTAGTGTTATTATCAGAGTGTTGCGATGAATTTTATCATTCTTTGTCCATTTTTCTGTTCTTTTTATACAAAAAATTTCATCCTTCTTTGTCCTTTAAGAGCTTCTTGAGTAACAAATTGAATCGTTCGTAATTTATTACATGAACATTATGTAATTATTTAATATTAAACATAATATTTCCTAATCGACATACGGAAAAAATAAATTTTTATTTGTTCTCAAAAAAAAAAATTTTTTCGTACAAATGATGATAATCACCATTATATTTACTTTAGTCTATGGTATGTGCTTTTTATATTATCTAATATTATATAAACGTTTGATAATAATAATAAACTTTATTTTTTTTTTTTCAAAATAAAAAATAAATAAATAATTTCGTGACCATAGCATATGTTCGTGAAAATCTTGGAATTGAACACCGCATAATAATGATTATGAACCGGTTTCCATATAAACATTACGGCACGGTAAAATCTACCTGTAATATTTGGTAAGATTGTTTAAAATTTTGGTTTGCCATTGATTGGGCGGATCGATAGTCACATGGAAAATTATTATCGAATCATAAATTAGGAGAGAGAGTCTTTACCGCCATACCGCTATACCAGCATATAAATTTCGGTGTAACTAGTAGTGCAGATTTCTATATACAAATTTAGAAATAATCCCCAGAAAATTACTATGACGTTACACGCGCGCACTGATTTTATACGCTGTGTTGCATAATGAATTCAAATTTTACATGTAAAATTTTACCTTCACACCGATTTCCCTTGTTGAGAATAAGAATCACCACCAAATTAGAAACACAACTTTATAACATGTATATATATATACTTTAAGGCAGCTTATTAATAAAATCGAAAATAATAGGCCATAGTCAAATTTTGCCTTTATATTCACATATATAGAAATGCCAAATCATTACATCATTACACAGTTTTGTGTATCATTATTTTGAATAAACAAAAATCTCCTTTTGAATGATTAGGTAATATAAGTAAGCAATCAATTGTCAAAAAAAAGAGAAGAGAAACATAAAGTAAAGAAACATTTAAATATTATTATTAAATAATTTTAAAACTGTCAACGAATTATGACTTAAAATCAATATTATATAATATGATACGCAATAGAATCCAGGCTTTCTTTTGAGTCTAAGATCATTCAATTCGATCAAGTATTTGTATGTGAAATTGTAACTATGTGGGGTATTTGTATATGTATAATTCTGATTGGTTAATTTGAATTTCACATATGCGAATTGCAAATTCACATACAAAAATATATAAAGGATATTTGCGTTTTCTTGAAAAATCCACATGGCGTTTTCATTAATAGTTATCAAGTATGTTTTATAATAAAACTTGCTTTGGAAGCTTCATGCATCATACATTTTGTCTTTTAACGCTTACTTACATCTCACAATGACCGTTTTAAATTTAAATGAAATTATTTTTTTTAAGAATTATTTAAATGCATTTAATAATAACGCCGATTCTTTCTGAAATCAGAATCAGAATCAGAATTAAATAAAAGTTTGTCACTTTTGGTCGTCATGTTTTGAATAATAGTACAAAAGAGGAGATGAGATTCAACAAAGAATTTTACATATTTAAAATTAGCGAAACAACTTGAGGTTAGCAACAACTTAATAAACTGCACGGTGTCAACATAAAGAAAACAAGGTTCAATTAAATTAAAAGATTTAGACTTTTTTAAGTGAAATGATATGCGTGCCATATGACTTTTATGGGTCAATGCTTTGCTTCGGAATTATATTTAAAAGATAAGAGAATCACATGGACGTCATATTAAACGTGTCAAACAGTGGCTTGCTTGAACATAATGCAAGTTTGAATCTTTATGCTTTTGGAGAATGCAAACTTGAAACACAATTTTGTGTAAAAACCATTTGTCATCATTTTTTATTCTAAAAGAAACCTCCGTGTTTGATTGGATCAAATGAAGTTCGAGAACTTGAAGAACTTTATGCTATTTTTACCTCATCGGTTACGTAAAATATACAATTTAATATTAATGCTGGGTTGGCGCTTCCGTTCATTAATCACCCTTTTTTGATATCCAAAAGAATTACGAATATTCGAAATACATCAGATGACTAGATGGTATTTTAATAAATATTTCAAATAACCATAAATGTACTAATAACATAAATGGTTCGATAACAATAACTAAGATAAATATATAATTGACGAAATTTGATTAATTTAACGTTTCTTTATCATTTTTTCAGCACGGTCCGGTTTCAAATTACAGCGAAACCTTGTTCAAACGAATTACAATTAAATTCTTGTTTCAACGAATCTTTAAATCTTGTCACATATTATTATTATTATTATTATTATGAAAACATAAAAATTCGTTGAAATGCGCGATTAGTAATTTTGTTTCGACGGATTTTGAATGAAAATTTCTTATATTCGTTGTAACAAGGTCCTTTTTGATGTTAGTACAATCTCCAGCATCATTGAACAACCGTTATGATGGAGTTGAGATAGCAAGAGTACAAAATCATTTTTTGCCAAGAATATAATCTTCTTTCCATCAAAGTCTAAAAATATTTTAATAATAGTAATAATAATAATAATAAAAATAATAATAATAATAATAATAAATATTTATGTAGCACATTACTGGGACCTATTACTTGAAAATAAAAATTTATAATTTTATCTGATTGGTATATAAAAAAGCAAGAGCTTGTAACACCAATTACTATTGGAAGAAGACCAAGGGGTTTTTCTGAAAATTCAACAATTAATATATATATAATTGAAGAAATATCAAAAATCAATGGATCAATGAATTGTCATTCACCTCTCCATCAAAAGCAGAATAATAAATATATTACAATTGAGAATGAAGAAACAAATAATGAAATGATAACTGACAAAGAAATTATTGCTTCTTTCAAGCAAATTGAAGAAAAAGTCGTCATTGGGGGTAATGAGATTGCACCAAAGGTTTCGATAAAAGATGCTGTAAATACCTTTGAGATTGTTTACAATCTTCTTCAACAAGATGATATAGAAATAGACTGTATTATATTGAATTTGAATCTTTTAAATCATTAAAAAGAAAAATAATATTCAAAAACAAAAAAAAAATAAATAGTGTTACAACGTATTTCAATAAATCATTAGCGTATACTATTAATATTAATATTAGAGAAAACTCTATGATTCGAAAATACTTGTAAAAACGAGTGAGGGTAACCGCAGCACTATAATTCGGGTTAATGGTGAATTTAAATCCAACAAAGGGAAAAGAATGAGACACTCTTTGTGAATCATTAACTAAACAGAAAAAAATCACATTAAAAGTCAGTAGTAGTACAATTGTTTTGTGTTTAAATGAGGAAAGATGTACTACCTAATATAATTAAAGAAAAAAATTCTTTTTACCAAAAAAAAAAATGTCGACAAAAAAATCCAAGTTTAATAAAGATGATAGTTTACCAAATTTACCCTCAGAGATAATTGATTGCATACTCAAACATATTAAAGACCAGAATACATTATTTTCATGTTTGTTGGTCAATAGGTTATGGTGTAGAAAAGTTGTTCCAGTTTTATGGGCGAGACCTAAACCATTATTGTATAAAGAGAATGCATCAAAGAGTTTAATCGAGACATATATTTCATGTTTTAATGAAGATGAGAAAGCTGTCCTATTTTCTCTCGGACATAACAAAGTAAAAAAAAACAAGAAAAAAGGTGAAGAAGAAGGTGAAGGTGAAGGTGAAGGTGAAGGTGAAGAAGAAGAAAAAGAAGAAGAAGAAGAAAAAGAAGAAGAGAGCAGGGGTGAAGAGAACGAAGAAGAAGGTGATAATAATAGCAATAGTAGTTATGTCAATAATGGTAGTAATAGCAATGATGGTGTTGATAAGGTTGAAGGTGATATTAGTGGCATTGGCGAAGATAGTGTTCACAATAATAATAATTTTAATTTATTAAATTTATCAAATCCTTTATTTGAATATGCGGCATTTTTAAAAGAGTTGGATTATAATGTTTTACGTACAGCTGTTAGGAAAAGCTATAAAAATATTGGGGGCAAAGAATTCAGCAGAAAAATCAAACCTTTGAAGCCAGATTTAAACCCAACACGTCAAATGACGGTTATGAAAGCATTGATTAAGTTATTTACGAGATGTTCGGTTTTAGATTCGGTTAAATTCAATTCTTTGCACGATGATATACCAAGTTTTATTTTATTTGTTGAAGGTCAGCATAGCTTGTCAAATGTTAGTAAATTACATGTCAGCTCATCAAGTGATCTACCAAACACCTTAGCATTACTTAATAGGCTATCTCTATTGTGTAGCAATATACGTCATTTAATTATCGATTCCACAGATTTAACTACCTCTGAAAATTTAGCAGACATTATAAGGGCACAACAAAATCTGATCAGTCTAGAATTACATGGTAATTTCATCAATGTGTCGCCGGTATTCTTATCGTTGGAAACGCATATATCGACCTTAACCTCGATTAAATTTGTTGACATTGATTATCAATGGAAATTGCTTGAAATTTTATCAAAATGCACAAACTTAAAATCGTTAGAAGTTATTTCAAATATCAATAATTTAAATGATGAAGATCAAGACTCGGAAAAAGAGCTTAATTTTGTTTTACCTCCAACAATCTGCAATCTTAAATCGCTCAAATTAATCAATCAAAAGTCGATTTATTCATCTTTGATCTTTCAAACTTCTGGTGGCTCTGTCAAAAAATTATCATTAAACACCATAAATAAACGTGTGGTTGATTCAATTTTAAAGTTTTGCAGTGGTGTTAATGATCTATCGCTTGATATTTCAAATACTCCTCACCATGATTTCTCTCAACATATGCGATTGTTGAAAGGATTAAGATTGATCAATCTAAAATTCACATCTGACACAGCCAACGATATGGATTTATTATTGCCTGAAATAACACACATTTTGCCAAAGTCTTTATTAAACTTGGATTTAGAAAAAGAATTCACACTTGAACATTTAGGAAATTTTATTAACTTGTGCAAAACTCCCATAAAAGAATTAACTGTGTTTCCTAATGCTCCAATTGATAGTGATTATATTAGTACAATAATCAATTATTCGAAAAAAAATTCTTCGTTTAAGAAATTGCATCTAAACTTATCTTGGGAATCAAGTTTGATTAATGATAGATACACAAAAGGAATCATCAAAGATCCAAATGATGAATTATTTACAATTGATCTTGAAAAACTCAGAGATCATGTTGTTTAGGATATTTTTTATATTTATATTTATATTTATTTTTATATTTATATTTATATTTATATTTATTTTTATTTTTTATATTTATTTATTTATTCTTTTTTTTTTTTAAAAAAAAAACATTATCATCAATGAAAAATTTTCTTTTTAAATATTCATTTACTTAACTGAAATAGTTTTAATTATTACAAAGTAATCTCATTTTTTTAAAGGCTGTGCGTAATCTTCCTCGGTTGTGGCTAATCCAACCAAAGATTGTTGTTGCCTACCTATGGTAGACTCTTATAGATTATTGTGCTCAAATGAATGACTCACAAGTCACGTTCACGGTTAAACCAACACCCGGTAATTTAAATGATATTTATTACCCTTAAACTCTTTAAATAGTAGGAATGTTGAGAACCATCCTTTCCTCCTCCATTCCTAAACACGTATTTTCCGGCCTTTCCCTAAAAATAAAAATGCTTACCTTACAAGCGAAATTTTTTGTTGATTGGACTATCCTTGGCTTTTTACTACATCATCAAACTTGTACTAAATAAAGATTGATAAAATAATTCATTTGATAGAACTTAGAAAAACATGAACCAACTAATGAAGAGAGTGGCAATTGAAATCCATGAATTATGTGATGCAAAAAACTTTTATCAACGAAAAACAAATCTTGGAAGGAAAACAATAAAAGTAATCCAGGATAAAGAAAAGGGTAAAAACTGGAGAAGGAGGATGATGTAGAGGATGGAGAAAATACACAATAGTAATATTATTATTATTAGAATAGATTTATATCGTAGTGACTTGATTTACCGTAATGCTGAATCATGTCGAAAAACTCTTCAGTATTTATGATATTCTAGGTTGCCGCCATATAATATTAATGATTGGAAGTTGATCGATAAATACAAGTTTTTCCGGCCAATTATTTACCTCAAAACCTATATGATAATAATGAATAACGCTTTTTATTAACCTTCGACATCAACTTAGACTTTCGACAACCCGAATGTCGAATGATGAAATATTTCGACAGAAGCTCAAAACATTTTGATTAACAACTCTAGATCGATATCCAATGAAAATTCGTTGAAACGCATCCTTTAAAAAATATCCACGGAATAGATCAACACATACTAATATAAAAAATGATCTTTCCCCCGTACGGAGTAGATGTTTCTATGTGTTTTCCGTATTAAAATGCGTTTTTCGTGAAGGGACCTGGAAAATAGAAAAGAACCATAACGTGAAAAAAGCTGTTTTGAGTACAAATTAAAATTTTCTGCTACTACTATTGATATGCTTTAAATAATAAGTTATTGATACGGAGAATTTTGATGTATTCGTGTATTCTATTGCTCCAGTTTTTTTCATATTAATATACAATGTTGCACGGGAACTCAAAGAATTCAGCCAATGAAATTTATTCATTCTTACACGTTTGATTGGTCTAGCAAAAGTAGTTCAATATTAATTATCAGTATCACATTGATCAAAATATAAATTTTAAATGCAAATAGTACTATTATATTTAAATTGGTGGGCCAAATAAAAAGTTAGTAACGCTGGAATAATCGTTGGAATTACTGGAATTTTCACATTCCAGTCAGTGTTCCGATGTGACTCATAATACCCTTGTTCTATTGGTGTTCCCAATGTTACATATTCCAGTTATTTGTCATTGGAATAGAAATTTAACATACACTGTTCGTGACCTCGAGATAAGATTGCCACCATGTTCACCTTCAATTCGATTGGTATGCTTTAAATAATTTATTGATATAAAGGATTTTGATTTTGTCAATAGTTGAATTCATAGACGGAAGATTTAATTTAAAAGAATCAAAAAAGTTTTTTTTTTTTTAATCAATGGGATATTAACGTCATTAACGTCTAAATTAACTAAATTAATTCGCCAATAATACCGTCACTCCGTATATAAACTCCGAAGTAATTTTCGCAGCAGTAGGTAATTCAGAGAATTCTGATTGGCTGGTTGGAACTTCACGCATGTGATTTCAAATTCACTCTATGCTTGCATTCTAAGCACCGAAACTCCCATAATAAATTTAAAAGGAATAACTATGCTATGAATGTCCATAATTTAGATAAAACTTCATAACTACTGATATGTTTTTAAGAACATATAAAAATATTATTACATGTACATGAAAATGAAATGAAATCATAGCAATTAACTTATTTTCATGTTTTTTTAGACAAACAAATATTAAAGATTAATGAGTTTATTGATGAATATAAGTTAAAAGTAAAAGAAATATCAAATGTAAAGCCTCTTACAGGAGATTTTACACTAGAAAATTTACTTAAAGAGTCATTGATAAGAATCGGCCCCGAAAATTAATTAACAATCTCGGAAGTTGTAAAAGCAGTAAAAGATTGTTAGAGAAGAGTTGGAAGATGGAAATCTATAGAACTATGTATGGGTTGCTTACCATCCGAAATGCATTTATCGCCGGATGTTTGTAGAGTATTTTCATCCAAAAGGTTTGTAGATTTTTACATCGAAGGAAAAAAATAGGCTGTATGGTTGGTATAATAAATGTATCTTATAATATAGTTCATAACAATTGTTCAAAATATATATATACATAAGTATTTGTAGTATGTCACCTATATGGAAATATATAAAAATACAAGGTTTGGATTTTAGAGATAGTAACCCGATTCAAAGATTTTACTTAGTACACGCGCATTGCACCAACTGTCAAATCTCCGTAATAGTGTAGGTAAATCGGAATATATCTAGATTTTCATGCGTAACATTTGTTCATGTTGTTTCTTCTCTACCTGGTGCATTGTTTCTTTTTAACTTTTAAGACCCTTTTTTTTTGAAAAAGCTTAATACTAATACTAATATTTTAAGACGAGTAATGTTACATGCGTTGATTAATATATGTACAAAGAAAACTCCATTTTTTTTGGAACGCGAGATAAAGAGAATTGGTCATTCATTACAACATACATAGGCAACCCCGTTAAACCGAAGGCAATTGTGCAGGGACTTTTCTTCGGATTAACGGGGTTTCGGATTAACG